GTAATAGTTAAAAAGTACAATTATTCTTACTCGCATTGAATTGAGAAAATAAAATGGAAAATCTATTTGTTTCTTTTTGTCAATGTCTTCCTTTGTGTATCAATAACGATTACAGATGTAAAGTGCTTAACACAGTTTTAAGTACCATAGCCCTGAACACGGCCAGCACATAATGTTTGCAACATCTAACCTCGGCCCCCCCCCCCCAAAAAAAAAAAAAGAAAACCCTGATAAGTTCATGTAGGGTAATATGAGTAGACAATCACAATATTTGTGTACATCTTATCAGGTTCCTCATTTAAATATAATGTATGGAGCTTCCTTCCCATTCCAAGACTACAAAATACATTTCCATTCCCACCTTTTAAACAGTTTCTTCAGGCAATGAATACAATTCGTTCATAAGCGTTCTTCCTGTGTATTGGTTGATAAAGTGAAAAGCAAATATTTTTAAAACTATTCCTGTGTCTGCTTGTGAGTAGTTGTTATACCTTTCAGGTCTACATCAACGTACTAGCGATTATCAACTTATTGATACATACACTACATTTTTATTGGAGAAAACACATCATGGAAGCAAGCTTTAGAAGCCTGTTACCCAGGTCATTTGTGTCATTCAAATGTTAATGCAATTAGAATATCAAACAGTGTTCTATCAGATTTGTTGAAACTCACATAAAAACAATGTAACATTGTTTTCTACTATAATCCAAAATTAAATTAATCAAATACTTTCCACTCATTATTTATTTAACATTTGGTAAGGGCACAAAATCTACCAAAAATTTGAAAACTTCAAGGCACTATTAATCGTTTTTTAACGTCTTTATTTTGCTTTTTAATGTATTTTTAAGAATATGTCTATGCAGAAAATTCAGGACGGATTTTAAGGCTTGTTTAATATTAATAGTACATTAAAGCTATTCTAAACTTTTCTTATTATAAATATGTACAATAGAAGAAATCTTACCAAATCTAAAATTGATTTCATTTATTTCCACATCAATGCTTTATTCAATCAATATCTATTTATAAAACAAAAGTCTGTTACTTACTTTTGCAAACACTGATGGTTTGGTTGTAAGAAATAGTTGTTTCCTTTATAAGGTGTTATTATTTGATTTTGTGTATCGCAATATTGCTAATTTTTCTGATTTATTAACATGCTTAGTGGTCAATAATAAATAATAAATATGATTTTGCGTTATCGTGCGTTTATCTGACAAGACTATCCTGGTTGAATATTGTTGTTAGTATCGTTATTATTATTATGAGTAGTATTAGTAGTAGTAGTAGTAGTAGTAGTAGTAGTAGTAGTAGTAGTAGTAGTATAGTTATTGATATAAGTATTACTTTAATCATTAGAAATACATTTCATTGAGTACATAAGTGCTTGTCATATTTGAATTTTTAAAATTCATGTTTCAAATTTCACATTGAGAATCTTATTGTCTGTATAATTTATCAAAATGAGCTAGTCTGTTCAACCATTAGTCTTTCATCATTTACAAAAGTCAATATACAATGTATTAACATTATGATTGTGAATGGAGTTGGCATATTTTGGCCTGTTATAATAAATGGTAATATGAGAACAGCTTTTGACATTTGAGTTCATTTAGGTTCTATAAGTGATGAGCATGATGACCACTGAGAAAAGAGATGTCAGCCATGTCACACAGCTACAAGTGAGACCCTCAGAGCTGGATTTGTTGTCGTTGCATTTTGATTCAGTACAACAGGATGTGCAATTCGTAACACCATTAGCCATAGTGCAGTAAGGTCCACCACCTTCATGATAGATATTGCATTGGTGATCTGTGCATCCACGCGACACAACCGTGTGCGATGAGTTCTCATAATGATAAGTCTGCAAAAGATGAAGAAGTTTTATGATAGCTATGTAACTTGATCGTTCGTACCTAGTTAAGTTTTTGGTAGTATTTTTTTAACGATATTATAACATTTTTAATTTCATCTTTTGATTTCTTGAAAATACGAATCGCACAGCTTTTTCCCTCATCCAGTTAACTAATGTTTTTGTCCATTGTTTTTTATAGACATCCCACTAAAAAATTGTTCTCTTGCTTTGTAATGTATTTCATTATTTTTCTCTTAGATAAAAAAAATTAAAGCAAAAGAGAGAAGAAAAAAATTAAAACCAAAAAAAATGGACAAAACTATCACTTACCCGAGTATACATGTATGAGGACGAAATAAATAAACAGATGAGACACAGCATGAGCTTAGGTGAAATTAATGTTTACTTTGTATAAATTCGTGTCTTCTATTTCAAACCATCAATTTAGAGATATATCCTCATTGTATTTTCTGTTATAATACCAAACTATATACACATGCCAGATCAAACCTGTGAAGAAAAATATAAATTTCAAAGTATTTTAATACCCAACAACGCTGTTCTTCATAGCATGTAACAGTTGATACTCCATCAGCGCTTGCAAGGTCATCAGCAGTAGAGCAAACATCCGATATGGAGCTAGTCGAACAAGAATAACATTGAAGAGTCTGCAAGGAACAGTTAAATGCACATGTTATTAGTTTCAAGAATGGATTATCTAATTATATTATACTTGGATACGTGGTCAGCATGTATCGCTAAAAGTTAACAAATGCTATCCCTACCATGTTCCACATCAAAGGTAAACCCAAACTATATTAATACAAAATTGTATTTGGTGACAAAAAAATATAAACAATTAAAAAAAATTGACAAAATTGTAAAATATTTTCTAAGCAATGAATTTCTGTTTCTGCTTTTGTTCAGAATATCAATCAAATGTATTCTGTAGGCAACAAGTCATTGCCTTAAGCACGAAGGAGAAAGTTCTTTCTTAACAAATCTCTTTCATAGACCTTCCTAACAAAGAATTATACATTTTTAGATCATTATTATTGGTAACGCAAATACATTGCCAAAAGAAACGTGTACAGTATTGAAGAAGCCTCTCCCATTAAGCTTTAGAATATTTCACTCACTTACCCCTTGCATTTTTGTGGCCGGGGTAGTTGCTGTAGTGATGGAAGTTTGATTAAAGGTATCATTATTGATATGATGTAAACACATAAGATGTTAGCTATACATAATTAACCTTGCTAGGTGATTCAGATTCAAGAGTCAAGGGGGTGAAGCCGCTCATCGTTTCCAATACCCTTTTAAAATAGGGCAGAGTCTTGGAGGGTCAGTGAGATGTCAAAGTTGTGAGTGGATATTTTATAAAAAATATGTTAAAATGAGGATCGAGTAGTTCCTAACTCCAAATTTGTTCTGATCTTTGGGTTTTATTTTTCTTCATTCCAATTTAGTCCTTTTTTCAAAATGTTATTCCTTTGTGTATAACCTTTGTGTATAACTTTCTGAAAATACTAGATAAATTGTGCTTTAATAAAAAGCGTTGCCGCAATGACATTTAAAAATAAAGACTTCGATTTTTTAGCATAATCCAGTTTATCCCATGGTAACAGCTGGCCGTGGATTTCACTGCCTCTGTCTACCATGGATTCTGCAGAAAATAATCTCTCTGTCAGACGCAGTTTTTTTTTCGGGGGGGGGGAGGGGGGATTCTAGGTATTTACGATAAGATGAGACCATAACTTTTTTATAGCATAGCTTATCCGGAACTAGCATATTTTGCCAAATCTAATTACTGGCTATACAAGCTACTTTCAAATAAAACATCTTACCTTCGCTGCATGATGTACAGTTTGCACACGTCACCCCATTGCAGATAACTGGGAAATAAAAATGTAGGGAATAAATTTTAATAAATCAATTTACTGACTTACGAAATCGTATGATGTTTTACACGTTTGATTTCAGTCTTCTAAAAAGCTAATCTTTGGGGTGGGTGTTCACAATTTGTCCTGACCATAGTTTTAGGGGCACAAATTTGCAAAGGGTTTCCACAAACTTGACACACGGCTGTACACAGAAATGAGGTAATTCAATTTCTTGGAGTTTATTCAAATTCGAATTACAGTTTCTCTTACATTTAATACTTCACGCTATTGTTTAATAGATTTCTCATACATAATAATATACACATGTATGTACGAATTCCTTTCTCTTGTTTAAGCCTTCGCCACCGGAGGTGAATGCGCATGCATTATGTTTTCGAGTTGTCCTGATAATAGGAGGACAATCCGATTAGATATTGAGGTAATTAATAGGTCAGAAGGTCAAAGGTCAAAATATTTCCCCCTTTTTGTGTCACTCTTTCGAAATGTTTGCAATTTTTCTAAAATTCAGGTTGAAAATTAGTCACACTTTATTTCCAGTCCCAATTTAAAGATAAAGTTGAGTTCTGGTCATGCGATTGCAAAGTGAAAGAAACGTAGTGGAATTGATCAGAAAAGGTTGATCATCTAGCATAAGTATTGGTGTGTACTGCAATGTTCTGTAATCATCATACTGATAAGGAATTTGGCCCAGTCTTGGTAAAGTTACAAGCACTGTACACAAAAAGATAACTATACACGCACACGTGGCATAAAAATCCGTCCCGATTTGTATGTTACCTGTCATATTTAGAATATTGAGGCATTTGAAGAGCCATGCTTTTCAGGGAACATTTTTTATTTGATGTTCTTCCACACTTGCATAATACAATGATAACGCTCACAACTTATTTTTCACCGCTTCCCGGAACTCAACCTTCTCTTTAAACCCGGGATTTGATGCCCACTGATCAGGCGCAGAAAGGGAGATGGTCAAGGGATATAATTTATGAAGCCATCCTGCGTCTCATTTATGTTTATCATGCATTCAGCGTGTGTATTTAATTTCTCACAATATCTCTTCATATATTGGGACAAGCTGTATCAAGATTATATGCATGTTATTAAAATGTATTTAGGGAATACCGGAGGGAATATCTACCAATGTATAAATCAAAACTTGACAGAAAATCACAATGTGATGTAAGAAATATTTTAAAGCGCGTTAGGATTATGCTGTATACCTTCTTTACCAATGCACTCTACCACATTTTGGTAGCCATGTGTGTGTTATACTCACGAGTTACACCAGAAACCGTTGTATCGTAGGGAATTCCGTTTGCGTCCAAGATTTGGATCTCAAATGCATTCAGAGTGGAACCCACGGAGCTCTCAAACACAGCAGTGAAATGAACTACCAGAGAACCATTGGAGAATCCTGTTACATTCACCATGATTTGGCAAGCAGTGCCGTTCCCTAAATCGGCTGTAGCATTGCAGTAACCGCCAGCGATCTGTGAGTGAGAAGGAAATAATTGTCAATAATAGAAATCGCCCCTACAGAAAATGTTGAGGTACATCTAGTTCACAAAACATGATGATGATGATGATGATGGTGATGGTGATTTATGATAGTTAGGCACATTGATCTGGCATTTTGACAAAAGGCATCTATATAGTGTGCTTCCATAGTACATTTACCATTGAAATGACTTGCTTCCCTAATAAGGCTGAGGCAGTCAAGTGATTTTTTGAAACTTACACTGGTTCATACAATTGGAACGTATACATCAATCTTTTCTCCAACACCTAATTTTTGTATTGTTCATATGAAACAAACGGATGAATTGATTTATGCATGTAGCAATAAATAGTTATCGCATGCACAAAAATAACTGTGAATCATGACCAGGATGAACCGTGTAAAACTTGCTTTGATTAGTGAATTTGAAATGCATGTTATTATGCGTTTTAATTGGAGGACACTATTCTTTCGGTTGTAAGGGCAATTGCAATTGTAAAAACGAGCTTGTTTTTTTTTAAATTAAAAAATCATGAGACTGTTTCACAGTTTTAGTAATTTGAAGCCCTGTAGCTTTAAAACGTTTTTTTTTCCTCCTGTGACAAGCATCTTCTGATCCAACCTAGGCAGATAACTGAAGCCTGCGTTGTAGGTTAACGCGCCCCTTCCCCGTTTCATAGACGCAGTCTATGTTACAGTGGAAAACACTCCGTTAAAGCCCCATTGTACTACTTGTAGCTACTTGCTCCCTCTATATAGAAAACAACGCATAAGCGGTACCTGTTGGTCCCCCATGATCCTCTTTTTCTTATCTTCATTGAGAGCTGAGTTGATGAGAAAACCACCTGTCAGTGACCACCCTAATTCCTCTAATCCCTCCTGGCCGAACTAGTGCATAGGAGCTTTAAATGGAAGCTCCGTGTAAAAGAGAGTCATTGCTATTCGTATTAGAGTAGGAGGAACCCCTGCGCAGTGGCAGATCCAGGGGGGGGTGGGGGACATGTAAAAACACGTAAATTTTACCTTTTTTTTTAGAAAGGCCCCTTTCCCTAGCGCTCAAGGGGGGGATGCGGTTTTTCACATTTTTGAGGCCCCCCCCCAAAAAAAAAAAAAAAAGTGCTCACTACCCCCCCCCCCTACCCCCCTACCCCCCCCCCCTACCCCCCCCCCCCCCACTGAGCGAATTATCGGCTAGCTGTTTCGCCGCTAATATTTTATCACAAATTGGGCCCCCTCCCCTGACGCCGGCTGGATCAGCCCCTGCCCCTGTGTAGTGGTCCATCTGCACACCCCCAAACAGTTATACTGGGAGGAGAGACCCGAGGGTAATAGTGACTAAGCTCACCTTTTCAACTTCCAGCTAGATGACGCTGAACACTTGATAATGATAGTAATATTAATAGATAAATAGATAAATACATAAATAAATTGGTTCATTGATATGAAAGGTGGAATAAAAAAAAATAGGTAAGCTGCTCACCCTTTCTTCCCACAGTTCAGCGTGTTCCATGAACTCAGGTGTAGAAGTGTCACCCAATGCACTTGTATATTCTACCCCACTGACTTTGATCGCGGCACTTACTGAGCTCAACTCTGTATCAAGATAATTATTAAAAAATACATGATTATGTTTCCGCTAAACAATATAGCAGTTACTAAATAAAATTAAAGATGAAATATGTTTTTCTGGTCTGATTGTTTAGTTGAAATTGTTTAAGCTTTGGAATAATGTCAGAATTTTCGTCCTTCCATAAGAATTGCAGAGAGACATAGATTAGGACATCTGAAATCATGGATTGTATACACTTAATAATCATAAACTCATAATCATTACCTATCTGTCGGATAGACTACAGCTGGACGCATAGTTCCCGGAACGCCGAAGGCGGCGCTATTCATCGAACACTCTAACGGAACACTATAAATGCTTTCATTAGGAAAGGACCTGTTGTGAATAAAGAGCTCCAGTTTTGTATGATCACGTTTACCCCTTTTCGCTTTAAATACATGGATACAACACTAAACAGTTTTAATAACATATGACTTCCTTGAAATTAAATGACTCGCAGGTAATTAGGAGAAGTTATCTGTTTTTTGTCAAGTTGTCTGATTTGATGACGTCATTGGCGATTTATAAGCCATCAATAAGCCATTGGCTAGAAAAGTCATTGGCGATTTTTTGGCGATTTATAAGCCAAATAATACTTCTCTCACGCATTATTCAATAACGATTTTCACCGTAGGAAACCACAGAACGCCATCGCATGTTTACCCGCCGGCGTATTTGTGTGTCGCTGTCGGATGTTGCCTCTATTCAAGTCGTCGAAATAACCTCTGCGACGCATTAGCGGTACGGAAGAAAAAAAATACGCTACCCGCCGGACACCAAAATTTGTCAAGCATGTCTGCAGAGTAACCTGGTGTGTTTGTAAGTGAACTGAAGTTATTTTATTTTATTGTTTTTAATCTCACGCACATACAGTACAACATGCAACATGTTCATTATATACCGGTATGAATTAAAATTAATGATGAAATAAAATTGTGTTTGTGACACTGCACCACTCGCACTGCTAAACCACCCTGTGTGTAGATCTAGTGAAACTTAGACTAGCAGCACACAACCCATACTAAAAAAAAGTCTTAAAAATATGATTATTGTAAAAATCTCATTCATAAATTATGTGTCTTTCATTATTATCTTGGCTGTTTGGTTATTTGTTATTCACAAGAGCGCTCAAATCTTCAATCCTGAGCACATTCTTGCAAGGCCCTAGTCTAAGTAACAAGTTAAACACTCCTACTCCTAGACCTAGTGCCAATGACGTGAAACACGACAGTCTTTGACCTCATACTCATAGGTGACAATAGCGCATATACGGGGTGGTGCATTTGAGGAAAGTCGGCACCCGCGGTAACACACAAATGCACACAATGATAACGACAAGGCTTGCCGGCGGTGTGAGTTGTCTTGTGATTTCATGATTTTTGTTTCCTTTTAATTAAAAACTTTTTTGAGTAAAATTAGTTATTTATTATTGCAGTTTATATATCACAAATTTATATCTCTGAGGTATAAATTTTGATTAAATTCTTGTCAATTTTGTACAATGATGCTTGAAAGTCTGACTACTCTGGCGGTTTTTCTCCACGTTATTGAGGTCCTAATTCCCCCTAGAGTGCCTTTAAATACGGAATTGTAAAAACCATGCCAATAACCTAGATGGCCTCACAAAAATATGCTCAATATTAAAGATTTGAGTGCTCTGGTGAAAAAAAAAAAACATAACAGCCGAGATTATAATGAAAGACAGATAATTACATTGTCATTCATTCATGATCTTTTTTGGTTACAATAATCATATTTTTAAGATTTTTTTTTAATATGGGTGTACATGTTGGTCAGCCAATCCCATCGCAATTTCGCAGATGTTGGCGAAACAGCTTCTATAAAACGCAGACTCCAACAACACAACAGTGGCCATGGTTCAAACTTTACAAATAACCCCCAACTGCTACCCTGGATGTGCTTGGTGCTAGTATACCGATTCCCTGGCAGTGGTCATGACGAGGCCAACATAGATGCCAGGAAACATTTTGAGAACCTCTGGCATGCCCTGAATGCAAACGACCACCTACCAGATACTCAAAAAATCTACACCAATGGAAAAATTGTCTTCAACCGGATGCGTACGAGATACCCAAGCCTTGTATGGGAAAACCTAGGTGACGCGTAGCTACGTTTACTTCGTGTAAGTACTTACAATGCTTATGTACACATTTCCAAATATCCAATAATTTCAAATTTGAAGTCACTAGGTGAGAGGATGCATTTCCTTTAGGCAATGCGTCCTCTCACCTCCAAAAAACCAGGAACATGGTCATCCCCATCCTTCCAATTTTCATATTGTCCAAAATAAACATTACCTCATTGTGGGTCCTTTTTAAGTACATCATAGCAAGTTTCACTCTACCTAAAAGTCCACTACAACATTCTTCAAAAATAGCTGACAAACTCAAGCGCAATCGGCCACAAGCCCTTGTACAAACATACCACTCATCCCTCGTCTAGTACCAAGTCCCTACTTATATCTACAACTGTGCACGACTAATGTGAAATGCTCATTCACAGCATACATTGGCATTTAACACATATCTCTGCTCCAGCTTCTTAAAAAACAAAACAGCACCTATGACCACCAAAGAAAGGGGATTTCTCATTGGCATAGGCCTATATTAAACACATTTCCCAATAGATATATTATTACCTTTAAACTTTCTATCAATATCAGGATGGACCCTCACTATAAATGCAATTCAACTGTCTTCACTTTTGGCTAAATAATCCATCTCATGAAATTTCATAGCCACTTAAATGCCCACACAAATCAGAATTACTGTGCCATAATTGAGCAACAACCTGTCCTGCAACCAAGATGCAAACTAATGCGGTATACTCAGTGGCGTACCTGGGGTACTCCGTCAGGGGGGGGGGGGGCAAGCGACCGAAACAAACAAAAAAGGCGATGCTAATTTTCACTTCTGGCGAGCGAGCGAGCAAAAAAAATCTTTAAGTGACGTTTGGTTTATAAACTGGTGTTGTTGCAAGTTGGGGGTGGGAACATTCACTTGTTAGCGACTTCAATTTCATTTTTTTGCAAACGAGTGTAGCGAGCAAGAAAAAATTCACTTCTTTTTTAATAATTGCCACTTAAACTTGGTTCATGCAGGGCGCGGGAACAATATTGTGTTTAGGGTGATTTTATACCCATTTTAAGCTAGCGAGCGAAAATACATCTTTCTCTCAATGAATTGCTATATAAAATTTGTTTCATTGTTGCAGGTAGGGGGCGGGCACAATCGTGTTTAAGGCAATGTCAATCCCATTTTGGCGGGCAGGCAACCCCCTACATTTATCTTTTTAATGATATTGTAGCAGGTTAGTGGTGGGCACATAATTCCACGAGCTAGCAAGTGTAGCGAGCGAAAATAAAAATCACTTTTCTTTTATAGGGAGAATATGGTACATAAAACTTGAGTTCATTGTTCCATGTCAGGGATGTGATTATTAAAAGCGGTGTTATTTCTATTTTGGCGAGCGAGCGTAGCGAGCGAGCAAAAAAAAATCACTTCTCTTTTATAGGGAAAATATGATATATAAACTTGGGTTCATTGTTCCATGTCAGGGACGTGATTATTAAAAGCGGTGTTATTTCTATTTGGCGAGCGAGCGTAGCGAGCGAGCACAATTTTTGTAATGATAAATGGTTCATAAATTTCAGATTTTTTTGTTGCAGGGCAGGGCTTACACAATCATGTCTAAGGTGATGTTAATTCCGTTTTGGCGAGCACGAGCACACCAAAACTTCTTTGAATAACGTTTGGTACATAATTATTAACTGGTTGTTGCAGGTTGGGGCGGGCACGTTAGCGGTGTCAATTCCATTTTGGCGAGCGAGCATAGCGAGCAAGCAAAGAAAATAAATTCCCTTTTAATAGAAATTAATAAATAAACTTGTTTTTATTGGTGCAGGTTAGGATGGACGCAATCGCGTTTAACGCGATTCAATTCCTTTTTGGCGAGAGGTCGAAAAAACTCTTCCATTTTTAATGATATTGTTGCAGGTCAAGGGTGGGCACAATTGTTTCCAAAGCAATGTCTATTCATTTTATTCGCGAGCGAGTGTAGCGAGCGAGAAAAATGAATTAGTCTCTTTTAGTAACATTTGGTACATATGTTGTGTGTTATTGTTGCCATGGTTGCAGGTCGGGGCCCGTCGGGGCAGGCCAAATTGTATTCTAGGCAATACTAATCCTTTTCTTTTTTCAGGGGGACGAGCAAGTGAAAACATTTAATAAAAAATAGGCTAGCAAGCAGTTCGCGCCAGCGAAGAGTTTCAAATTTGTTATATCACTTATATTTTCCTATTTTCATTTGTTTTAATTTTTCAGGGTCGTATGCGGAATATTTTTCTGGTGGGGGAGGGGGAAAGATGCGTTAAAAGTTTTCGAAGAATCTCAAAAGCAAAAGGAGTGAAGGGAGTTCGAGCGACCGAACTGGTCATGAGGGTACTTTTGCATTTTCAAAAGTAGAATTGAAGGATTTGGTATAGGCCTACACTACATTTTCAGGAAAAAAACTGTACGTTTTCAAAATATCTGGGGTCAACTGCCCCCCCCCCCCCCTGGTGCGTACGGCCATGGTATTTTTTTTTTAAATTTCCCCATTTTTATTCCTTTCCTTTTCTTTTCCCTTTGTCTTCCTTTTCTCTTCTTCTTCCTTTTTTCTTTCCTTTTTTTAAATTTTTTTTCTCTTTCTTTCCTTTTTTCTTCCGTTTTCCTTTTTTCTTTTTCTTTCCTTTTCCTTTCTTTTCTTTTCTTTCCCCTTTTTCCTTTTTTCCCCTGGAGCCCGTCAGGGGGGGGGGGGGCACTCTGCCCCCTGCCCCCCCCCCCATAGGTACGCCAGTGGGTATACTCAAAGCACTTCGTAGGAAACTTGAACACATATCTTCTTATCAGCCCACCAATCTACTTCTCTGCTATACCAATACCCAACCCTAGTTCCGACAGCTCTGGATTGGAAAGAAATGGAA